CGATGTGATTTGCAGCTGCAACTTTTGATTTTTATCGCGTCGCATAGACAGGCAAAAACATTTTCCTATAGAAATCGCCCAAATTTTTATTACTGTCTTATCTCTTATTTCCTATTCGTGGACCAATAAGAATTGTTTAAACCTTTATAGCAGCAACTGTGATTCGTCGAGACGTAGACAAGATGAGTTTTATAACCACAATTTTTCGATAATCAATGGAATATGTAAATGTTTTTTCACTTTTATTTGGATTAAAATACCAATTTTTGTTAATCCTAAAGGAAAATGTGCACGTGTCTTATTGTCTTAAAAGATAAACCATATATTCAATCGATAGAAATATCCACTGGCTCAGATTGAAGGAATTTTAATAAGTAGAATCAATTAAGTTTTCTGATGAAATAGAAATGACTTAGTTGTAATTGATATTTAAGCAAATGAGTACTAGAACTATCTATTTGATGAGGCGTTGATTTTGATGGTTCATCTGAAACTTGGATGTATATAAATATGTAGTCGTGATTTCTTTAGAGCACATCTTGCAACTGGTTACGAATCGTCAGTTTGTAAACATTAGTAAAAGATACAATACGTGGAAAATGCTCTAAACTGCGGTAGTTGTATACAGTCGGACCTAGTATTGATACTTAGGGAACTGCATTTGTGCACGCGATGCTTGGAACGATGGAGAGCGACGATGGATTGCGCTATTTCGAATAGGAAACGGCAGTGTTTAGTCTCGTGTTTTAGTACGGAATAAATTCGGAATATTTATTAGAGATGATACATAGTGCTGCTGCAAGTCAAATAAACCTCGCGGCGTTTATAATTATCCGCTATTACACATAAAGGTTCGGCATCGGGTTTGAGCAACTTTTCAGAAAATGTCAAGTAAATATTGCGATCGGCCGTTTCGAAGGAGTTTAAATTTGGAGAATAAACACGTTACCCAAGAGGCGAAGCGAATTCCGTACACGATTCTCTACCATTTCTGTTTACTCGAAGATTATTAGAAGGATCCGTTGATGAGGACGATTTCATCCATCTACAAGTTAAGTCCTGACCTAATCGTAGCTAGAAGGATTGGCAAACATTTTTACCATCGCAATTTGTGCTCGAAAAGAGCGATAAGAAAAGTAACTGCATTTGGTGTCAGGGCCATACTTGTGTGAGTGAACGTATATATATATATACACACTTTATGTATGTGTGTGTCGCAATTTTTTTTTCCCGCCGAAGATTGAAATGCTAGTTCGTGGCTCAATCAAAATCTCACGAAACTGGTACACTGTCAGGATCACAGTTATATTTCACACCGAAATCCGTGTCAATACGTGATAGAATGTGCCCGATGCCATTAGGTATTCCGGACAAGTGTCCCCCAAAATTGTAAACATGAAAAGTTTGTTGATATTTTGATGAAAACACACTCTTCCATTAATTGCATTTGGTGCTCCATTTTCAGAAACACGAAAATAAGAGACAAGGTCTTCATAACATTTAAATAGGAAAAGAAAAAATAAAGTTGCGTAACATTCATATATCTTTTTATGTCTGAATAGAATAATTTAATTTCATCATCATGTTTGTTTTTCCACTAACTGCACTTTGATATTTCGTGTCTATTTTGCTTCTTCTGTTCGTTTGTTTATTTATTTGCGTTTCGTTTTGGCCTCTTCTTCTGTATTGTTTTTAGTGCCGCTTAAGCTGTGAGGCGTGCATCGTCGGATTTACGTATGCGTCTACGTAAATCCTTTTATTAATATGACAGATACGTATAAGCCCGTAGATTTTCATTCACAATACCAAATCGGGTTAACGTCGAAAATATTAAGTGTATTGTGAATGCTTGAAGACGGCGAGGTTTCGTTTGGTGTCGCCAGGAAGCATCGAAAGTCTCCTTCCATAATTTATTTCTCTATTTATAACCTATTTCACATTGGTTCAGTGAAAGCCTCCACACTACTTTTTACTGCCCTAAGCAGTATCAATTTCAAGAAGCCTTCAACCAAACTGATCCTCACAAATCTATCATTTATATAAATTTACTCAATTTATTCGTACTAATGATATAGGTCTTAAATGCGATAATCCTCGATATAATCTAATATTCACACGAAGATAATCAACGTTCGAGATTAGATAAAGCGACAAGTATTACATAACGTTAATACCTATTACATTAGGCGATAATTGATTTATATTTAACCGTTTATTGATACACGCTGAAGTGGGCTATGGATATGTCAGTACTAAGATAAAACATTAATAGTAAACTAACAGTGTCAAGTGCTTTTGATTGAAGGTCACAATTTGAACGAGAGAATTCAATTTTTACGCAACCCAATGTTGTAACAGTGTGTTAGATTCTAATTGTGTGGATTCATCCAAAACGCGTCCAGATTTACAGCTACTTCCTAAAAATGATTCCAAATTATAGTTGCATTCAAGCTTATGGTAAAGAGCTGCGGGTTGGTGACCACAGACCGCACAAGAAAAGAAAAAAAAAGGAACGAGCATAGCTCAATTGTAAAGTGGGCGCTCGTAAATCGTTTGGCTCGACTGAACTTAATGACTTCGAATTTCCCCAATAGAAACTGAATAAAAACAATTCAACAGCAAGAATATAAAATAGAACTATCATCTCTGTTGCAATTGCATTTCATTAGACTATATTTATTAATAATTAGAAACTCATTATAAGAAAAACATCTTAAAATTGCTTGCAAAACAATCTTATTAACCGTTGTTAAATGTTTGTTTTGTTGTTTGTCGTATCTTTGCCGAATTTCTCTAAAATTTCACTTCCTTTGTAATAAACAATAAAAAGTAATTTATTTAAATTATGCATTGCGATATTGTTCAGTATCGAAGAACACGATTTCTACTTTTCAAGCACACGATTTAGATGGAGGAGCAATATATTGGAATGATACATTTCTTTTGGGATTGCGCTGCATTTTCTCAGAGATGTGTTTAACTTGGAAGCATCTCATGTTTCAGCGGAACTGTTAATTGGAGCGCCAGAATTGGAGAAGGAAAAACCTGTTTTATCATCTTAACACGAAATGCTAATTCTGTAAGATATACAAACAAAAAATATATATCTGCCCACTTGATTTTCTGGGAACGTAACGAATGTATTTAACACATTACATTTTACTAAATACACTTGAGCGAGAGCCAAATAAACATACACTTCATTTTTTTTTTCCAAGACGTTGAGAGTGCGGTATTCCCGTTGTCTGCGGCAGATAAAGATATATTCTACAGAATCTGCTCTATTAAAACAAACAGTTAATGAATGTTTAACAACTCGTTCGAATTGTTTGCATTAACTGAATATTTGCAAAATTCTAGAATTGGTCAGAGGTCAATCAAGGCGATATCTGCTTATTGAAAATATAAATTTAGAAACCTAAATTTCGTGGAAATATATTGGATTTGCTTGAAGCTACTACGTTTTTGAACGTGATATTTCCATATTTATTTCTTCTATCAATGTAAAAATGTCTAAAAATAAACCATACTTTGGAAATTTATCTGAATCGTTGGACAAATTGCGTAAACATCGGAGCATTCCTTGAAGCGTTTATTTAAATTACAATTAGTTTATAGTTTATGACACTTGAAGATATACGGAGGAAAGAAAGATGAAGAAGACGCAAAGTACATATTGGGAATGCTGGAATTCTCATCGCAGTATTTTCCGTTTAGTAATTGAATGAAATAAAATAAAAAGGTTTATTGTTGTTGTTATGGGTACGGTAAGCACCTACCGTTCATTGGCGCGGTTAAAGGCAGGGGATCCACTTTCATTTTCCGTTTCGTTTTGGATTCGAGTCGCAAAACGAGTTTCGCATCCTAAGATCGTGTGTTTTCACTCTGTATTAATTGAAACAGAAAGTGGTATAGCAATGCAAGCGAAATGTCGTAATAGCCGCGAAGTCGGCAGAAAGAAAGGCACCGACGAGGAGACCAAAAGGAACAAAAGAATTGCGCAAACGGTGGACAAATAGAAACGAAATGCGTTCAGGATCGTTTGTTGTTGCTGTTGTTTGTTGCTCCTGCTGCTACTGCTTAGTTCTTTGGCTGCTTTCTAAGCTCATTGCAACCAAATAAAAGTCTGGGTCCAAAAAGGCCGGGGCCGATGGCCTTACGGGAGAAAGCAGCCAACCTTGAATGAACTGGACTCCGTCCATCGTTTTATGTAACCGTGCGTACTACATGCCCCAGGAACACCGAAGCCGTCCTTATCTCTTCATTAAGGATAATTCGTGCTGCGTGGATCCATTCACGTAAGCACCTGTTCCTGCGGCAACCCCGGTAACAGGTCTTCGGATCTCCGAGTCCCAGATTTAGGTTAAACCGCATTCCAAGATACCGAACTCATTATCGATTCACCATTAAGCGTGATTGCGTAACACAGCCACTGCTGCATGAAAATATCTAGTGTAAGGTCGTTAAAAATTTGCGCAACCATTTCCTCCTAGTTCTCGATCTGCTCAACTATCCTTTTCGGCATTCGATGGACAGTCGTAAAGTAGTGAATTATGTCTTTAGGAGAAACATTTTCGAAAGTTTCTTTTGGTACCACCTTGTCTGGGGAATGAAAGAGGAGATCGATAAACCAATAATAAACGTGAAAAGATTTATTTTGATTTCATCTGCGCCTTTGATGCATTTATTTCGGTCCATTATTTCCCTACAATCCCACACAGGCACGCATCGAAACGCAACTAACAGAATTAATCTTTATTAGTTGTGCGCGCATCGAATATTATCCCGAGTGAATCACATCACTTGCTTGGAAGAGTGGTCTTCTTTCAAGTTCAACTCACAAGTTCAAACATACGTGTGCGGCTTACGTAATATTGTCGCACTTTAGGGAAATCCCGGAGCGTTTTATTTTATTACTGCTTACATTGCCGGCGGAATGTAAATGTTCTCATTGCCAAATTCGGTGTACCGCAGTCAATCATTCAGTCTGTATCTTCCAGAAAGTGCTGTAGCAAGTAAGGACCATGACGACGCGCCTGTTCCGTGCTCACGGGGAATTCTGTGCAACTCATCCATGGGAGGTGATCGTCGCGACGCTTATGCTGACAGTATGCATGCTGACGGTAGAACAGCAGCAGCACGCACCTATACCGAAGCCGACAACTAGAAGCTGTGTTGGATGTTTGAACGAGGTAAGTGATGCTGACAAGAAGATGATGTTCCGACCGGCAACTTCTCAACGTGCTGTTTCCATTTACAGGCCGAATACAATGCAGCGGATGTGATTGTGATGACTGTTATTCGATGCCTGGCAGTTTTGTATAGCTACTATCAATTCTGCAATCTGCACCGGCTCGGATCCAAGTATATTCTAGGTATGTAGCTGGCGAAAGTGAAGTGAAAATATGATTCAAGGTTGGGACACGCGAGAGGACTCGGAGAAAGTATCTCTGTGTATGCGTGTGACATCACTAAAATCGGGACGTAACCATGAAGCATATTCTCCGCATCGGCGATTCGCATAATCGCCTCATAATGGTGTCAATATCCAACTGTTGCCCAACCAAACTTGTAATCAAACAAATAATTTATTTAACACCAGCCTTGAATACTACATGTACCTAGAAATGATGTTTTGTCCTATATTTCTTTTGTATTATTTCTATTAAAATAATTTGTATGTATTCTTCTGAAACTAGGTATAGCAGGCTTGTTCACCGTTTTCTCCAGCTTCGTGTTTACCTCAACGGTATTGAACTTCCTTCGCATTGACTTCTCCGAATTGAAGTAAGCCAATTAGAAAGAGCTTTTTTATTTCGAACCCCGGGTACTAACGTCCAACATTTATATTTGCAGAGACGCGTTGTTTTTCTTCCTGCTATTAATTGATCTGTCGAAGGCAGCGATGCTGGCGGAATTTGCACTCAGCGCTTCGAATCAAAACGAAGTGAAAAGTAATATCGCGAGAGGAATGTCAGTGCTCGGTCCTACCATCACCCTGGATACCATTGTCGAAACTCTAGTCATAGGCGTAGGAACTCTATCAGGTATTCTATTCGGATGGCCAATTTAATTGCAACATACCTGAGCATACGCGATCCTCATCCGAAATATTAATGAATGCGTTTTCTAATTGTAGGTGTTCACCGGCTCGAAATGTTGTCCTGTTTCGCATGCCTTTCAGTCGTTGTTAATTACGTAGTCTTTATGACTTTCTACCCGGCATGTCTGTCCCTCATTTTAGAGGTAAGTTTCTAAACCGTTTGCACTTATTCTCCCTAATCGCAAGCTCGCGCCCGCAGTTGTCACGCACCACAAATCTCTACGGAAAACGGGACATCAAGAGGTCCCTCATCTCACGCGCTCTCAACGAGGAAGACCAGAAGTCCAATCCAGTTTTGGAAAGGGTGAAGATCATAATGGCTATCGGACTCATGATCGTACATGCACACAGGTAATAAAAGCTAGAAATAGCTTGCCTTGAAAGGACCAACCGATCGTTATCAACTTTCCTAGTTACATTTTAAAACATTTTTTGATGAAATCACTAAGAGCCATCTAAAAATGTAAATCTCACCTAGCTTGAATCCATTCATATTCAATCACAGAGTCGTGACCTCACTGGATATTTTTAAATCGCTTTTGTTCTGAGATAAATAGTACAAGCAGTTTCATGTTATTCTAGGCAATAGCATTTCAGTATATATAGGTAGACGACTTATTTGGATTTTTATTTTCAAGCTGGTGGCCATTCAGACAAGAAGAAGACGCGATTTCACCACTTGTCGTCGAACAACGTATGACCTTAAACCGCACCGACGAAGCCGCCTTTCATGGATATATTATGAAGTAAGTCTGAACGCGAACACCTTAGGCCTTCTTTACCTGTGATCGATTACCTTCTAGATGGGTCACCCTTAGTGCAGACCATATAGTGATATTGATTCTGCTGCTAGCATTAGCTGTGAAGTTCATCTTTTTCGAAAACAAGGAGGAATTAGAGCTGGGCGCGCGTCTTATAGAAACCAAGCAGGATATTCCAGAGATTATAATGAACGCAGCTGCCCCGATGCCGTTCTTCAAGCCGAAACAATTTTTCCTACAAAATCAGGATATCGAGGATGCACCTCAAGACAAAGAAGTTCAAACGGAACCGGTTGCTGAAGTAGCTATTAAATCCGAACCATCGAAGCCTAGCCGGAGCTTAAATGAATGCGTATCCATTTATCAATCAAACCTGGGAGCTGCGGCACTGAACGATGAAGAAGTGTTATTATTAATCGAGAAGAAATACATCCCCGCTTATCAAGTTGAGAAAGCGGTTGATGATTGTGAGCGCGGTGTTGGAATACGCAGAAAAATGGTCGGGCATAAAGGAAATTTTACGCAAGCTCTTACCAATTTACCATATAAAAATTATGACTATAGCAAAGTAAGTTATCAATTTAAATCATCATTGGAAAGAATACTAAAAATTGAATTTAATATAGGTGATGGGAGCGTGCTGCGAAAATGTCATCGGATATCTACCAGTTCCAGTTGGAGTTGCGGGACCTCTTTTTTTGGACGGCAAGAAAATATTCGTGCCAATGGCTACGACTGAAGGATGTTTAGTAGCAAGCACAAACAGAGGAAGCCGGGCTTTGCTCCAGTGCGGTGTTAAGAGTAGGATCATCGCCGATGGCATGACACGAGGTCCAGTCGTCAGGTTCCCTTCGTTGGACCATGCAAGCGAAGCGGCTGCATGGATGGAAAGGCCAGAAAATTACGAACAAATCAAGAACAGCTTCGACTCTAGCAGTAGATTTGCTAGATTGATGCGCATCCATATACGTTTGTTCGGCAGATCGTTATACATACGTTTCGTTGCTAAGACCGGAGATGCAATGGGAATGAATATGCTCTCCAAAGGCACAGAGCTGGCTTTAAAATTCGTTCGCGACAGATTCCCCGAAATGGAGATACTCAGCTTAAGCGGAAACTTCTGCACCGACAAAAAACCGGCGGCCGTCAATTGGTAATTATACCCGTGTTACTTGTGCATTCATCAATTAACTCTCTGTATCATCATTGCAGGATCGAAGGTCGCGGTAAATCCGTGGTCTGTGAAGCGATTGTCCCTGCTGACATTGTGCAGAACGTTCTCAAAACTTCTGTTGATGCTTTGGTCGATGTGAACATCTCCAAGAATCTAATTGGATCTGCAGTTGCCGGAAGTATAGGAGGATACAACGCTCACGCCGCCAACGTCGTGACAGCCATCTTCATAGCAACAGGTCAAGATCCAGCTCAAAATGTGGGCAGCAGCAATTGTATGACGTTAATGGAACCATGGGGTAAAGACGGCCGAGATCTGTACATCACCTGCACGATGCCTTCGATTGAGATCGGCACCATTGGCGGTGGAACTATTCTTCCGCCCCAAGCATCTTGCCTAGAGATGCTGGGTGTTAAAGGCGCAAACTCAGAATTTCCCGGTGAAAATGCAAGCCAACTGGCTAGGATCGTTTGCGCAACAGTCCTGGCTGGTGAACTATCCTTGATGGCCGCCTTGACCGCCGGACACTTAGTTCAAAGTCACTTGAGACACAACAGGTCTTCCACTCATGTGAGCCAAACGATTGAAAACACAGTCAAGTCTACTACACTCTTACCTCCCTGCAGAGACAATGTATAGACATAAAACAAATTTAAATTAACTTATTTTTTTCTACTTAGTACAGCTGGCTTAATATACTAAAAATTCTTATTGTACATATGTACATGATTTACAAATCATAAAAAAAAACAAAATAAGATTACAATCGTTTCCTTTGTTATATATTTTTATAGAACGACTGTGAGATTTAGATATAAGGAATGGCTGTCTTTAAGGTATATAAGCTGAACAATTAACTTATTTATAATTATTATTATTTTTGTTTTATTTTATGTTATTAATTCTCAATTATTTCTTATATTAGCCGTGGTTAGCTATACTCAAAGATAATGCAATTATTTATAGCACGGTACTTTGAACCTCGTAGAACCTATAGAGGTAAAAAAAAAACATTGAGAAGTTCAAGGGTATTAAAGTATTGATTAGTTGTTCTTCGCATTTTACAAGAAGGAAACAGATAAATGAAAGAGATGTGAAGCTTCCATGTAAAAGTTATTTGAACTTCACGACCTACCCGTGCCTTCTTCCCACGCTATTCGTGTATAATACGCAGAAGTATTCCCAATTACGAATATAAAACTCAGCACATATCAATCTGTATGTCGTCAACTGTTTGTAATTTTATATTTAGATATATCATAATTTGTTGTATTTTAATTTAATTAATTGTTATTACGGTTTCTTTACCAACTGAAACTGAAAGACATTTGTATTTATCTGTACTTCATTAGCGAATTCGCTGATGACATTCATTCATAAAACGAATAAGAATTTCTGGACGAAACTCAAGAAAAAATAATTTAGTTGTTGTGTACAAAAATGGTGTAATTATTAATATTTTGATCTTGATCATTTCAAAATAGACAATCCAATTCCTTCGATCGTTTTATTTTTATCCTAGTCTAATCCATTATATAAATATACTTGTACCACGAGTCTAACTTATATCATTAAATACATGCCACTCAGTTTGCCTACTTTCCACTCTTTTAAAGAGAATTTTTCTTGAATTCTTCTAATACTCATGAAGGTTACAACACCTAGGCCATTCTTCAATATCATATATTCTCTTATACTATATTGCTTGCTCATTATCCTTGCAATAATTATATAGAATTGCCTTTATTACAATGTTGATTGAAGTTATACTAACAGAATACACTGTAAGTAAATAAGTAATATATAAAAAATATGTATTCATAATGAACAAGTACTTTTTAAAGCATTTTAATTAAATGTGCAATATTGAGTAATACATTTAAATATTAAAATGATTTAATGAATTAGAAATATGTTATAAAATATTGAAAATAACTTAGGAAATTTAGTATTTCAATATTAAAAGAATAAAGCCAAAGGAACAACAAAATGTATCTTAATAGAATATATTTTTTGTTAGTAGAGAAATATATATGTATATATTAAATTTAGTTTTATAAAATTTTAAGAAACAAAAACAAAGAGAGTAATTTTTTGCTGAAAAGCTAAGCTGTCATAAGAATTGGAATTGTTGCGTTGCATTGTTGTGTTCACACGTTGCCGTTATTAGTCTTCTCGAAGAACATAGCATCCTGGAATATAGGACATTAGCAATATATGTATATGGTATTCCCATAGAAAGACTTACAATTAAGAAACAGGCGCCCATCATAACTGCTTTCATTCGAACATCCAGATCCATAGGAAAAGTGATACCAAAGAAATCCGTATCGGTAAACATCTCCCTGACCAATCCCGACCACATTTTTGAAATTTTTCCAACCTGTGTGTTTCCATCAGAAGAAGTGATTTTAAATTCTACATCGCCGCAAATGCTGGTTGTACAGAAAGGACCTTCGACACGCAACACTGTATCTCCGCTTGCATTCTTGATAGCGAACGTCGGACAGAATATACTCCATTCTTGCTCAACTGTACCAATAACTGTGCCAGGCGGCGAGGAAACTTCCATACTCTGAATAACAAAGCAATCAATTATTGGTATAAATGCAGTTGATAAGGAATGCTCACTTGTAAACAGCACGGAAAGCAACAGGAATCACATGCCAATGGCCTGTGTAAATGCATCACTTGGTTCCTGAAATTGTCCATGATGATCATGTCAAAAGGTCGCATAGGTCCACAACAATTCCTTGTCAAACAGTCATTAGTTTCTACAGCATAGTACACTTTTTGTCCAATACTGTTTTTAACTGTAAACTTATTGTTTGTCTCGAATCCCGTTAAAGCTAAAGAAAACAATGAGTTTATTCACACATTGATAAAGAGGCAATGTAATATAGATAAAATAAAAGAGAATATAAATAAACCTTCAAGAAGTTCGACTTTCTGGTGCACCAGCAGCTGATCAATCATAGTAAGGTATTCCAAACCTGGTGGACAATTCACTGGACCTTGCGGCATATGCATCCAACCACCTGTAACAAAACAAAACAAATACTATTATCTCCGGTCACTGTATTCAAACTAATGAAGCACCACCTTTGTTCTTCCTCAGTAATCAACTTGTCATATCCGCTTTTCTTAGGATTCTTAGATTTAAAAATAGACTTCAGCTTAGACTTTATATATTTATAATTTTTTTTAATAAACCCCAAGTTGCTGTCCATGTTACAGTAGCAGAGAGCAAAACGTGACTGATAAAGAGGACATGCTTATTTACCAAGTTATATTATCTTTACCCAAATAATGAAAATAATAAGAATGTAGTCTTATCTAACATCAAATATTATTAATCTGCTCTCTTATCAGTTCTTTAATTAGGTATTAAATGTGTGTAGCTGAATAACTGACAGAAGTACATTTAAGGGTTGCTTTTGTTTTGGAAACAACAAAAAGAAAAAAACAAAACACATACTGTTTGGACCTCCTCCTTGGCTTACAGGTTGATCCACAACAGGTGCATAACCCTGAGTTTGGTATTGGCCTGGGAATCCACCAGGTGGTGGATACTGACCAGCCCCTGGTGGTGGATATGGACCAGGGGGTTGATTGTAGACAGGCTGCGGTTGGTTATACCCTGGTGGTTGTGCATATCCTGGTGGTGGATAGGCACCTGGTGGTGCTGGTGGATATTGTCCAACTCCCTGTGGTGGGGCTGGAGGATAATCTTTAAATAAACAAATACTGTAGCTCCTAGTCGGTTACATTGATATATTTACTTACTGGCGTTGTATTGATTTGGATATTGAGTACCCTGCGGTGGTGGATAGGACATTTTCAACTATTGCATCAAACAACCAAACAAGACTGATGCAGTAACCAATGAGTAACCAATTGGAAATACTTCAATGACTCATAATCAGCTAATCAGCTAAAAAATCATACCTGGTAAGCTGTTATACCTGTTTTACTTATCTATGAAGGCTACTTCATCTACTCATTGGAATCAATGGTCGGCATAATATTTGGGCTTTTAGCGAGCTTCACCACACCTATTTACGCAATGTTATTTATATATATGATCTTAATTTTAAAACAGACAAAAAAAAATAGGCACAAACATTGGATGAGACTATGGACGGAAGATGTCGCGACCTGCATAATACTACAACTGCTACTACACCCGCACAAAGCTAGTACACGCATCCAAATTATGTAATAAATATCAATAAAAACAGGATCATTATCTTTATGCATACATTACAATGTAGTATACAAACATATCCTATCTACAGATTGCTTTATCTGGCTGGTCATTAAGTGCAGTTTATCTACAGGACTTTCTAATGCAATTAGTGGGTAGTCCCAAGCGTGGATGGATCAGGATTTCGAAAAAAGAAAATGCTGCCTGTACTACATTTGCATTGAACTTTAGTTATCTGCTTCTTATTCAGAACGTAAATGAGCATGATATGACACACGACTGCTAATTATTGCGAATTATTTATCAAATATTTCCGGTTATTGTTTCCATTCCGTACACTCAAATCGGCACAATGTGCATATTGAATACCCAATTTAACAATTCGGTATTGTTGAAGAAAATTTCACATTATATTTTAATATTATTAGTTTTGTTTGTAAAATCAAATTGATTTTAATGGAACCAAATCGAATCACTGATAGATTATCAAAAGTTTAAATAAATATTATATTTCTTAGTTTTAAACTTAATGATTATGCTAAATATTTTCAAATCTTTCGGTTGTATAAAGTTAGATGACTTTTTAATTATATAACATTAAAATATCATAAATATTGACCTTCGTCTCTATTATACTAATTACTATTAGTGTTGTTTTGTACCTAATAAAAGTATTAATTTTATTCAATTACATACATTTAATTCTTAAAATAATTACTTCCATTCTATTAGATATGTAAGTTCTATGGAAGACGTTTGAATATTATTGTTTATTAGTTAATCATTATTATCATGGGGTTGTTAGTTTTTTCTATTATTAATTACTATTTTATGTGATTACTTTTCATAGTAATATAAGTTATATTGGATAAGTACAAGTAATATATAAGTAGTGCAAGTAATAGTTTCATGTTAATATACCGAAGTATTTAACATTAAAACTATGGTGGTACAATATAGTATTTAAATAGTTGCAGAACAAAAGGATAGATGTAACAGTGTACGGTGTGTTGCAGATCAGGTTATGGAAATTGGAAGGTATGGATGTGAAGAAGTGGATGTAGGAGGAACAGTGTTTCAAGACAACAGATGTCGTGGGAAGTAGGTTTTGGTACGAGAATGATCGGAGGCTTTCGGGAGTGGTGGAGGTAGCTGGAAGTAGTTGCAGTTCGCTTCAGTTTGATCCTGGGAGCGTTGGTGTCGCATTTAGTGCGAAAGTTGAGTTGAGCGAGATTGAGTGTCCGCTCTCCCCACCAACAAATATTGAGTTTCCAGTTGGCCCCTCGTGGCTCTACACAAAAACACCCAGAGATCATCCACACACTAAGATGGCGACGTGATTGTGACTTGATGAAATGGCTTTCATTATCCGCCTTAGCTCTAACACTGAACCAATTAGTTTTTTTAATAGTCCGATAGTAGTGAATGTGTGCGTCCGAGTGTCTTAGAACTACGACCGTCTTGTGGTGATTTGAAGTATAAGAACAATGCGTGAGTTCAAAGTTGTGGTTCTTGGGTCGGGTGGGGTTGGCAAAAGTGCTCTGACGGTACAATTCGTGTCGGGATGCTTCATGGAGAAATACGACCCGACCATCGAAGATTTCTACAGGAAGGAAATCGAGGTAGACAACTCACCCTGCGTTTTGGAAATATTAGACACGGCAGGTACTGAGCAGTTCGCCAGCATGCGCGACCTCTACATCAAGAATGGTCAGGGGTTCGTGGTCGTGTACAGCCTGACGAACAACCAGACCTTCCAGGATATCAGGACCATGAAGGAATTGATCACCAGAGTCAAAGGAACAGAGAGGGTACCCATCCTGCTCGTCGCCAACAAGGTGGACCTGGAGCACCAACGCGAAGTCACCATCCAGGACGGGAACAGCTTGGCGACACAATGGAGTTGCCCCTTCATCGAGGCCAGTGCAAAGGACAAAATCAACGTAAACGAAGTGTTCGCAGAGATCGTACGCGAAATGAACATTAGTCCTGAGAAGGAGCAGCCCAGCTACTGCTGCTGTACATTGCTCTAATAGTAGCTCACTTCTCACACCATATTTTTTTATATTATATATAAATATATAATAATGTATAATGGGAACAATAATAATGTGTTTCGGAACTATGGTCATGTATGTCGTACCCACAGCCGCGGTCGGTGCTCCAACAATAACAACAACAACTACAACAAAACCAACAACAACACCCAAGTACCTCTTTGGTGTCTATTTCAATTAAGCGCCTTCGAAGACGATCAAGAGCTTAAAACAAAACAAAAAAAAACAAAAAAAAAATATATATATACAAACAAAACATAATAATAAATATGATGCTCATTTCCAACTGTACTTTGCGAAATGGCTTAGAACTGCACAATACCTATATATTTTTATACATTGAACAAAAAAACAAATAATATATAGAAAAAGTTACAAAAAAATAAAATAAAATATAAAAATAATGATAAATAATAATATTAATAATAATAATGTTCAACGTCGTTGTTGTCGAAACTATTTTATTTACACAATTTAAAAACAAACAAAATACTGATTCATATCTTCTATATATATATATATATATATCTACTAAATATATATATATATTAAAATACCAATAAGATCTATATTAATTAGTGCCTCAATAATGTATAAAATCATTGTTTTAAAAGTAAAAAAAAAATACTAGAAAAACAATAAACTGCAATTGGAGAAAAGTTACAGAACAACCATAAAAGAAAGAAAAAACACACACACAATACACTTACTACACATAATCGCGACGAAATTGCATGGACCAAGATCATCGGCCTAAAAATTTAAGACCCAACGTACGAGAACGAGCAGTTAACAACACAAACAGACATATTAAGACAAGCAAACAGACAAACAAATAAACATCATTCGAACGGCCTTCCCCATGCGGATATCACGTTTATTGATATTGTAATTAATTTTGAATCTCTCATCTATGTATATATTATATATTTTAATAATAGGTCTAACATTATTAATTTTTATCAAAGGTCTGTGTTTTTTTTTACATTATATATAACAATCAATCAAATCAAAAGAAAACAAGCAACAGCTAAAAAGAGGAAAAACCACAACAACCACCAACGTTTCGTGTGTTTATAATTTCTTTGTTATTTTTTCGTCCTCGTCGTTTTATTTTATTTTGTTTAAATTCGAATCAAAGCAAACTAAATTTTAAAATAAATAAGTTGATAGGGCGAAAAATTAATTAATTAATAATGATTATGGATAATTAATATTTAATAAACAAAAAAAATAATATCTATATATATTTATATAAATATATATATATATATATGAAGTGATGAGTGCTTGGGAGAATGCGTGCTTTTAGATTAATAATGTAAATGTTCATTTATTATTATGTTATTTTTTTCCTCTTTCTCTCTGTTATTATTATTATTTTATTTATCCTTCAGTGATTCTTCTTTTCCACTCGCCATACTCTACTCTTCATTAATCGATTATAATTTTTATTATTTTTTTTTTCATTTTGATTTTATTTTCGTTTTGTAAGTAACGAGACATATATATATGAACCTATATATATATATAAATAACATATAAGCATATACACATATTATATTATATTTTTTTTTCGATTGTTAGCGTGTGTGTTCCTGAGAGCCAAAAAGGATTTTGTGATATATACGTATTAAATAATAAAAATGGAAAATGCGGAAAAAAGTGAATCTGTGTTTGTTTTTATTTTATTTTTCGTTAATATTTAATTTCGTTTTTAAGTTTTTCTTTTTTGTCTTCTCTTTGATTTCATCTTGGGTTTTAGTCCATCATCCACAACTGGTAGTGCACGATCATCCGGCTGTTTACACCGTTCATCTGGTGAACGATCATCGCGTGGGTCGATTGCGTAACTGTGATATATAGTAAGAGAGAGAGAGAGACGAAAAAAAATCGCGTGTCCTGGTATGTGACTCATTTTTCTTCCGAAAACTTTCACTGGAATCTTTCGCGTTACGATTTATTCTAAATATCGTTTTGTTCTGAGCGATATATTCGAAGCGATATCGCGTGCAGGTGACCCACTTGCGCCCATGTTAAATGTTATTTTTTTCTCTTTCCTTCGTCTTTGCTTCTATTTCGATAAAACTCATAATAAGAAAGTTCGTCGCGTAGGTAGAGCCACAGCAATTAATACCAAATACGTGCGATTTCGTAAGGACTTCGAAAAAAAAACAGGTGGTTGCTTGCGGTATTCCTGTTCTAACACGTTCCTCCAAACACCCCAGTCCTTTGAGTACCTAGGTACTAAGAGTACATCTTCAGCACTGACTTACTATTGTTTTCCCGGGAAAACTTCTCACTTTTCATTCATTTCGGCTGCACATTTTGAAATGCGTTTTGAATAGCCAAAATGTTAGCCAAATACGAACAAATTTTGCACCCCCACGCAAAAACGGGTTTAAACAACGCGCCTTTCGTACACACACCGAATCCGATAGTTCTTAAATAATAACTTATTAATTATTTGAAAACCACTTCAATTTGTATTTACACTTTTTTCAAGAAAGACTATAATTTAACTTAGTCATGATTTTTATAAAAATTTATAAAATACAAACTCTTAACTTATTCATTCATAAGTTGTAATTTCGTTATTCATAAAGAAGAAAATAATGTAGATTTGCTAAAAAAAATGAATAACTTTTATTCAATTATTCAATATTCCGTTAATTTCAAGGAAAATCATATTGGTTTTCATTTAATATTCAAAATTCATGGAACTTGATAAAAATATTTCTTAAAAAAAAAGTTGTAATATGACAGGAATGTCATTCTGAGAAGAGATTTATAATTCATTCATTGGCAATTGGAAAGAGTCGCGTAAATTCCATTCTGAGAAAGAGATAAGTTCGAATGTACAGTTTCCGTTGTATTCATGAATCACATTTTTTACAATTTAAATTGAAAAAAGTAAATCAAATTTAGTTACATAAAAGTTTTGAAATAAAGTCAAACATGTGATATATGAACAAACGAAACGCCTGAAGTAACGAACAAATTGCTTCTCATAAAACAATAATATCTCAGTTAGAACAAACATGCAACGTGTAATTAATAGTAATTGCTTAAGAATTTGGCCCCCATTTCGATTGATGATTTCTATTTGCTTTGTGACATCAACAATTTCATCCCAGTGAAACCAAAAACAAAACGAAAAAAAACATCCATTTATTGGCCTAATGAATACAACCTTGTCGAGTTACATAAGAGAAATGTCAAAAAAAAAGCGAAGAACAAATGGAAAAAGCGTAGCGAAAAACATACTACCACGGTAGCATATTTTTAGTGCTGACCGTGAACGGAAAATCGTTTATTTTCAGGGAAAAAAAACTAGAACTAAAGTAAACTTGTCACTTATGTTTCAATTCGGTTCGGATTTAAGTTAGTATTGACAGGTCGTAAAGTATTTTCATAATAAATACATCGGAAACGAATTATTTTCACAGTTTTAGGTTTTATTTAACTGCGTTAAACAGTCTATAAATTCTTTTTTTTTAAGTCTATAAAAAACGTTGCTATAAAAACCGAAGAACTTGGATGCTCCTAATAGATTAATCCTTTTAATCCTCATAACCGGCTTTTCTATTCTCGTAACTGTTGCAGCTAGGACACTGTTCAAAACCTAGTTATAACCAATTTTACATTTATACAAAGAAAACTTTCTTCTTTTCGATGAGTGCATGACGCATATTTGCTTTCATCTATTTTATGGCCTTATCAATGGCGTTTTATCTATGAGTGACTATTATCGAGTCATCGGCATTGTCCGAATGCATTCATGATATTAAACCTTGCTGTATCTACTAGTTTGGTTCTCAGTTGATTTTTTTGGTTAACGCATACGGAGAAGGTCGCTACTGAAATCGAAAACAACACATCTATCGCACATACCCAAAATAGACGTGAAATTTCCTGCGCTCCATTGTTATGTAATTCTAAGGTTCGAAAATGGTAAGCGTGCGTTAGCAGTCCTTTATTATGCCTCTCCGTCGTTGTGTCATGCATATTTGGCGTGCGTCCAACAAAAAATAAAAGAAATGAAGAAAACGAAAGAAGAGAAGACAAAAAAAAAAGGACAACAAAGAGCGTCCGAGAACCATGGTTGTTTCTAAGTCAAGGTTACCGATGACGCGTACCGCAACCCTAGATAATTTCAAGGTTGCGCGCGGAAAGAAAGAATGAAGAATAGGAGAGCGGCAGAGGAAACTTGCAAACCAACCGGTTCCGGGAAAAAGGGAAACCGGTTAGCGTCGCCAGGGCCCCGGTTCAAAGGCCTCATTTGTATGAAACAATTTGATATTTATAGTAATTGGATGGTTTGCGCAAACCGCGGATTGGCACGAGGCGCGCGCGCCTCCGCGAATCCGCCTTTTGCACGCCATTCCATCGGCGCCGTATCACCTGCTAATTAAAATGTTTGCGATTCCTGAATCGTCCTGGAGGACACACCGGTCACGTCGACCGACACTTGTCGCCTTCCGACGTTTTGTTTGCATGCCCAGTTATCTGCTGATAACTGGATTCACAAATCATTCATGCTTTTACATTTAAAGCAGATTATTATTGCAAGGTAAGTGATGTATTTTTTTTATTTATTATATAAATATTTCACTCACCGTATACTTATCCTGCGAAAAAAAACCTTGAATGATTCATCGCAATTTTCCGAAAAAAAAAATAAAAATGTTACAGAAATCCCACACCAATAGATTAGGAAATCCTTATTCGCTATCAAATCTTTTGCATTCTATTTCTATCATTCAATTCCACCGATTAACACAAAGGATGTAACAAACATAGATTTGATTATTTTCACAACAATAAATTTAAATAGAACTGAAAAATCGTAAACGAACAAAATTCAAATTATTTTTATATAACTTAAAATATTTGCCTGCGTAAATATGACTTTGGAAAATCCCAAACCAAATATACGATATAAATAATAAAATGTGTTGCTTGATTGCAACAATTTAATAACAGTAAAATATTTGTTTCCAACTAAAAATTCTAGACTTCAATAGTAATAATTAATGCTAACAACATATGTTGCAAAAACCTTGAACAATATTGTGCAATATACAACAAAACAAGTATTAATGCAAACAAAATATATTGTTGCAAGATTATTTATATTTGGTTTTACAACTTCATTGTTGTTTCGGTAAATTTTTGCACTATTCGCGTGACGCAGTTACACAAAATGAATGTTTCTAATAATAAATATTCTCGCA